AGATGCAGGAAAGAAAGAGGAGAGGAAGGAAGGGAAGGAAGAAGAAAGGATAATGGAAAGAAGTAAAAGATAAGGCAGGCAGGCAGCCTGGCGCGCGAACAGGAGCCGAAAACTTCTTAATCTCAAAAAAGAAAGAAAAGAAAAGAAAAGGAAAGAAAGAAAGAAAAAGAAAAGAAGAAAGGGAAAAGAAAGAAAGAAAGAAAGAAAAAAAGAAAGAAATGAAAGAAGAAGAAGAAGGAAGGAAAGGAAGAAGGAGAGCAGAGAGAGAGAAGAAGAAAAAGAGAAGGAGAAGAAAGAAAGAAGAGAAGAAGAAAGAAAGAAGAGAATAGAGAGAAAGAAAGAGGAAAGAAAGGAAAGGGAAAGGAAGAAAGACAGGCAGGCAGCAGCCCTGGTGCAACAGAGCCAAAACTTCCATCCTCCAAAAAAAGAAGAAGAAAGAACGAAAGCGGAGAAAAGCGAGAAAAAAAGAAAGAAAGAGAAGAGAGATGAGAGAAGAAAGAAAGAAAAAAGAAAGAAAAGAAGAAAGAAAAGAAAGAAAGAAAGAAAAAAGAAAGAAAAGAAAGAAGAAAGAAAGAAAAGAAAGAAAAGAGAAGGAAGGAAGGAAGAAGAGAAGGAAGGAAGGAAGGAAGTAAGGAAAGGAAGGAAGGAGGGGAAGGAAATGGCACGGAAAGAAAGAGCTGCTAACCCATCTTTCCATTTTTTTTATTCTCCTGCCTCAGCCTCCCAAGTAGCTAGGATTACAAAAGCGTGCCACCACACTCAGCTAATTTCTATATTTTTAGTAGAGACAGGGTTTCACTATGTTGGCCAGTCTGGTCTTGAACTCCTGACCTCAGGTGATCCACCCGCCTTGGCCTCCCAAAATGCTGGAATTACAGGTGTGAGCCACCATGCCCAGCCACAGCTCTTTCTAACTTAACATCTGTGCTAGTCATGGGAAAGTGCTGTGAATTTGTTGTTTCCTAATCTTCCCCCTCTCTCATTGAGTGATAGCTGCATAACCTAGCATCAGCTCTTTCTTATCCTCCATGCCCTTGGTGGTAACTGGGCACCAGGCTGCCAAGGAGAAAGACTGCATTTCCCTCACAGCTGATTGTAGCCCCAAAGATGTCAACAGCTATGTTACATGACAGCCAGATGGAGAGCTGCTTCAAAGACAGTGCTTTTTGTCTTTTCTTTGCCTCTCCCGCTAGTTGCTTGCTTTCAGTTATCTGTTGCTGTGTACCAAATCACTTCCACAATTAGTGGCTAAAATCACTACAGTTTATTACTTTTTGTGATTCTGTAGCTGGGAAATCTGGGAGGTTTCTCATGCCAGTCTTGCCTGATACCCCAGCTGCTGTTGGATCTAAGGTGGCCTCATCCACATGTCTGCCAGCGGGGGCTCCTCAGTTCTTCTCTGCGAAGTGTCTCCTCCTCCCAAAGCCACATGCACCTTATCACAGCATGGCAGCCTCAGGGTTTCAAGAGAGAGAGAGAGGGAGCTTCGAGAGTGCTTAAGGACTAGGCTCTGTAATTTATACAACGCCATTTCTGTCAAATTCTACTGGCCAACCTGGATTCAAGGGTGAGGAACTAGACCCCACATCTTGATGAAAGAATAGACAGTGCCATTGACATTGCAAAGGGGTTTAGAACAAGGAGGCGTGATTCGTTGGAGGACCATTATTAAAAACAATCTGCCGCACTCATTGGCAGGAATATGGACACGATGCTATTAAATAGAATTTAAGCAGCTGTCTTGGACAAGCTCTGCAGGCCTTGTGCTATGAAAATTGGAGAAACAACTTGGAAAGGGTCCCTGACATTTTGTGTAGCCTCCTTGTGACCCATGGACTGTCTACCTCCAGTGTGCTTTCATTTGAGAGGTCGATAAATGCTTGTATTGTTTAGGCCACTGTCATTTTGGATTTTCTGTCACTTGCAGCCAAATCTATTCCTAACTTACATGCTTTCCAGTACTCACCCTCTTAAATGTTCAGCTCTGCTTAACAGCCAAGGCTACCACCACACACAGCATACTGCAGTTTCAGGCTTGGAGAGGAAGGGAGGAAGCCTAACACGTGGGAGACCCCGTCCTGTTTTGATGTCATTGCCTGTCCCATTTGGCCAGCCTGGAAAAAATAAAATGAGGAAGGCGAACAGGAGGGATGTTGCCACGGGACTGAGGAAGGTTAGGGGTTGTCACGGGCCTGCCTGAAACACTGCCTGGTCCCATATTGGTCAATGTAATCTCAGCAACGAACCCAGGGGAGAGCCCAGGGGCCACAGTGGCAGGTCTAAGAATGTTCCAGGCAAACTGAAAAAGCCAAACTTGCCCATGCATAGACGCTGTGGATCAGCGGTTCATTTGAATGTGGTCAAAAGTGGACCTGCTCCCTGGTATAATGATAAGCTGTGTATCTCGGATTCCATCTGGAAGCCATTTTCGGATTTGCATTGTGAAGAGACGACGTTGAGTTGGGGCTCTCTGAACTCATCTGTGTTGCATGTGCACAAGGGTGGGTTTTAAGAGACAAACAGCAGCTTTTCTCCTCCCCACGTTTTCTTCAAGTTTTATGGTTAGGTTTGGGCTTTATTTATAACTTGTCACATGGAGAAATCCAGCAGGGCACTATTCAGAGGCATCATATCATTTTACAAATTCCCCACTCATAATTAGTTTAGGCTGCTTTAAGTCTGCATTTTTTTTTCTATAATGATATAGTAGACACAAAGTGTTAACTAGAAACAGAAATATTCGCCTCTTCCTCTGTCCCACCCTTACCCCCACCTCTGCCCGCCGGGGGATGCCCTGGTAGCATACCTATCCCAGTGAAGAACGAGTCTGTCTGGAGGCTTCAGCCACTCTTGGAGGCCAGGGAACCTTGAACCTTGTCTCATCCGTTTCTCTCCTCCCAACAGAATGGCCTGCAGACAACCTGGACAGATAGAAGGCATCCATCTGCATTTAAAGAAGCTCACAGACACGGCTGATTGATTCTGCGACCTTGCTTTGTTACTCATCTCTGAGTTTAGCGGCTTCACTGCCAGGGACCTTGTCCAGAGTTTCTGGGGCCTCCAACAGCCTGTGGTCTCCTGGTCACGCAGACCCTGCTGGTGGCCTCAGTGACTGGATCTTGCTGATGTTTGAACTGCCTTTAGCTGTCTGTGAAGGGCATGCTGGTGAGGCCACGGAGCAGGAAACCATGACAAACAACAGAACTACAGTCTGGTTAAAAAAGAAAATATACATATGCACATATGTATATTCCCCTACCCCAGGGGTTGAGGCTTTTTTGGCATACATTTACATATATTTTGGCACAAATTTGCATACTAAGTTCCTAAGTCTCTACTTCCAAATAGAGTTACATGAGAACCTCTCATTTATGGCATTAACATTCGTATTGTTCCCCTTAGACCCATGTCACTGGCTCTTACTAATATACTGAATTTCACCAGTTTGTCCTCCATTTCCTAGAATTTGTTCTAATTTTTAGGAAATGCTTACTAAATATCACTACTGTGTGTTGTGAAATCCAGCCCTGAAGGACATCAAAAGGTCTCTTGTTAGCTGGTAGCTATTGTTAGGTATTGTCTGTAGAGACATCGGGTCTCCTGGAAACATACCATAAGCTGTCCAAAAGTATTAATTATTAACTTGGGCCTTTAATTGTATTTATATGAATTATAATATTATGTTTGTATGTAGAGAAAAGAGATTATATCTAAGCATTATAACTGTGTATAAAAAGGATTTTACCAAGAGTACTGGAAGGTGCATTATAGTTACTCTCAAATGTAATATTAGGGATTTCTATTTACATATATTTGAGACAGGATCTCGCTCTGCCCAGGCTGGAGTTGCAGTGGTGTGATCTCTCAGCTCACTGCAGCCTCCACCTCCTGGGCTCAGGTGATCCTCCCACCTCAGCCTCCCAAGTAGCTGGGATTACAGGCACACTCCACCATGCCTGGCTAATTTTTTGTATTTTTCGTACAGACGAGGTTTCGCCATGTTGCCCAGGCTGATCTGAAACACCTCGGCTCAAGTGATCCTCCCACCTCGGCCTCCCAAAGTGCTAGGATTACAGGCATGAGCCACCATGCCCAACCAATATTAGATATTAATCATCGGTTCAAGAACAATGTTATCAAACCTACCTGCGTAATTACATGTGAGCTGGGGCAAGCTGTGCCACTGCCCTGGAGCCTCAGTTTCTTCCTCTGGAAACTGAGGGAAACCACACCAAATCTTAGTGTTCCCCTCATCTCAGGCAGCTGACGTCACCTTTAGAATTTTTGCCATCTTCTCATGTCGTTTATACTATTCATATTTTTCTGGAATTTAAAACTTTTCAACTTAAACTGGCATGATCTACCTTAGCCTAGTCCTAAGCAAAAATCTCTGTGAAACTACGTGTTTACTGTACTCTTTTTTCTTGCATATTAAAAGAAATGCATGACTGTTAAAATTTTTTTAAGGTGCTCGTTCGTATTCACTTGAAATTCTCTCAGGTCCTGCTGCACTTTGAGAATGTGATACAAAAACCTTCAATGGTGTGCACGGGAGCTTGGTATAAGGCCCAGCCCTAGCAGTCATCAATGGTAGCTGAGGCAGAAACAGCTAGGTTCCTACCTCAACATTCTCCTTTTAACATAGTAACATGCCGACTTTCAGCTGGGCACACAATGGAAAACATTTCCCAGGATTCTTTGCAGCTAGATAGAACCATGTAACTTTGTAACATAAATGTAAACATAATATTTTGGACTATGCTTGGACTAAACAAAACATTTAGTAAAGCTGGGCATGGTGGGGTTTGCCTGTAGTCCCAGATACTCTGGAGGCTGAGGCAGGAGGATTGCTTGAACCCAAGAGTTTGAGGCTGCAGTTAGCTATGATCTATGATCACGCCACTGCACTCTAGTCTAAACAACAGTGAGACCTTGTCTCTAAAAAAAGAAAATACATTTAAAAATATATTTGGTGAGGTTTCTGAGAATCCCCCTTACGAAAGAGAAGCCATTACTTCTGCAACTTCCTCCATTCTGCTTACTCAAACTTGAATGGGAGGGCAGCTATCTCAAACCGTAAAGATGAAGGCTGTTCTTGGTAGAACTAAGAGCCAGAAAAGGCTAAGTTCTCAAGAATCATTTGGAACTGCAATAGTGGTCCAGGACTACCTATCTCTAGACTTCTTTTACATAGGGAGAAATATACTTCTCTGTGAAGCCACTACCTTTTAGGATTTTCTGTCACTTGCAGGTGAATAGAAATCTATTGGATACAATATTGTGCACTTGGTAGGTGGGCTGTCAGTGGTGAGCTGGGGCTGCCATTCAGGTTAGAACTGACTGTTAAGTTTTCATGAATTTTGCATGCTGGTGAATGTCACGTTGGTACCTTGAAATTGGCCGTGGTGGGAGTATTTACACCACAGGAATTGGCAAATGCTACATACACATCAGGGCTTTACTTCCTCCAAGAGATCTAGTTATTGACTATTTACCATTTATCATCACTTCACTGTGGGATTAAAAGATTTTATCTACTAAAGTTGGCTAATGTAGAGAGATGATCTGACCTCTTCATTTACCCTCAATTTGTTCAAATTCGAAGTCAGGGACTACATTGGGCTTAGACTTCCATATTGTCTAGTTCTGATCTCGAATGGAGGAAGCTTGAATGTTGCTTATAGGTCTGCTGTGGACAGTGTCCAAGAGGTCAGTAGTAAAAGAGCCTGCTCACCCCTTGCTGAGGGGATAATGATGAGGGGATGGGAAATTAGCGTTCTGACTTTGCCATCAGGTGTGAGAAGTACTGAAGCTCATATACAAATAATTAACTTGCCAACCAGTTTTTCTTTTTCCTTTTAAGAGGTGGAAGCAGATAACTTGGGAATAGATATGCCCACGTTCAGAATTTACTGCTACAGCACAATTAATTATATTTAAACAATATATGCTGCATATTGATTAAGCACAAATGTAAACCCCTCATATAAATTAAACTAATGAATTTAACTTTTCCACAGTCAGATCTTATTTTAATGATTCTTTTTCTTACATTTCTGTAGGTATAAAGTTGTCAGGTACAATCACTGTCAAACGGTTAACCATTTGCTTTGGTATCCTTTCTGTTCAGTTAATGTTCATGCATGGTTTCACCTCAACCCAGGGAGACAGTCCCACATTTTAGGGGATGGATTATGTACCTTCATGGGACAGCAGAGGCTTTGGCATAGACGAGTTGTGTTGAAACTGGTTTCTCTATGCTTGCAGCTGCTTAACTTTACAGTAACTTATTTAACTACTGTATCAGTTATCTATTGCTGCATAACAAATGATCTCAAAATTTAGTGACTTCAAACAGCTGTTTATTATTTCTCATGATTCTGGGGCTTGACTGACTGATTTTTCTGCTGGTCTTGCCTGGGCTCACTCAGGTCCCTGCATTCAGCTAGTAGCTGGGATGGAACTGTTAACCACAGAGTCTTGGTTTCCTTCCACGTGCCTCTTCTTTTCTTTTCCTTTTCTTTTTTTGAGACAGAGTCTGGCTCTGTCACCTGGGCTGGAGTGCAGTGGCACGATCTTGGCTCACTTTAACCTCTGCCTCCCAGGTTCATGCCATTTTCCTGCCTCAGCCTCCCGAGTAACTGGGACTACAGGCAACCACCACTACGCCCAGCTAATTTTTAGTATTTTTAGCAGAGACGGGGTTTCACCGTGTTAGCCAGGGTAGTCTCGATCTCCTGACCTCGTGATCCACCTGCCTCGGCCTCCCAAAGTGCTGGGATTAAAGGCGTGAGCCACCGCGCCTAGCCTTCCACACGCCTTTTCTATGTAAATCTCGAGCTTCCTTATAGCCTGGTGGCCTCAGGATTTCAAGAGAGAGAAAGCAGAAGCTGCTGGTCTACTGAAAGCCAGAGCTCAGAAGTCCCAGAGTACTTGCTCCTGCCTCATTGTGTGGTCACAGCAAGTCAAATATTCACAGGGAGGAGAAATAGGCCCCATCTCAGGTGGCAGGAGCTCTGCACGTCAGAGATGAGAGGAATTTTTGGCTGCTATATTTTCAGGCGACTTATGATAACCCCTTTGAATCTCAATGTCTTTATTTTTGAAAAGGGGAAAATACATATTTTGAAAGTTATTGTGAAAATTCAATGAAATAATGTGTAAGAAACTACTGACATAAACCTGATACATGAAATAGGTGCTCAATACATAGCCACTCCCCCTTCCTCCCCTTTCTTTGGGTGCTACTCAGATGCGGCCGCCTGCTGGGCTTCTACCCTGCAACCGGTCTCCACCTCCCAGGCACACACACGCCCAAGACCTTGTAGAGGTCTCAGAGGTCTAAAGATGGGGACGGATGATGTGAATTCTGAATATCACAGCTAGAGGCTGTACGCTTGTTTGGGATCCTTGATGATGGGGCAGATACAAGGGGGGGCACAGAAGAGAATATTTATTAAGAGTGGGGTCTAGGAGCCCCGTGTGAATGGGTGCCCAGCAGATGCGGGAAACAGAGGCAGTCACTGTTATGCCTGGAACCTGCCTGAGAACCTTCTGCTGCCTTCTGATCTTAAAGAAGTAAAAGAAAATTCACCATGGCTCTCAGCAGGTGTGTGGCAGCGGGAGAAGAAAGACAGAGAGAGAGACGTTTCCCTCAGGGGATATTGAGCAATGTCTGGAGACATATTTGGTCGTGACAACTTTGGTTATCACAACAGGGGGAGGGTTGCATCTAGTGGGTAAGACTAGGGGTGCTGCCACACACCCCACAGTGCCCAGGACAACCCCCATCATAAAGATTCATCTAGACTGAGGTGGAGAAACTCTTCCTTAGAGCTATCCTGATTTCTGCTGGAGAAAGAGAAGGTGCCCTGCCCGTTCTCCACCCACCATTAGATGAGGGGTCCCTGACAGTTTGAAAACTCCTTTAACATTAGACAGGTATGGTGGTGTGTGCCTGTAATCCCAGCTACTTGGGAGGTTGAGGCGGGAGGATTGCTCGAGCCCAGGAGTTCAGGACCAGCCTGGGCAATGTAGTGAGACCCCATCTCTACCAAAAATTACAAAAATTAGCTGGGTTTAGGTCTACATGCCTGTAGTCCCAGTTATTCAGGAGGCTGAGGCCAGTGTATTGCTTGAGCCCAGGAGGTTGAGGCTGCAGTGAGCTGTGATCGCGCCACTGCACTCCAGCCTGGGCAACAGAGGGACACCCTATCTCAAAAAATATAAAAATAAAAAACTTTAACAAGATATAATTTTTTTCATACTCTAATTAATAGAGTTAAAATTCTATTCACAGAGTTCCATAGTGTGGGCCTCTGCATGCGTTACGGTCAAAGGAGCTAGAAAAATAGAGGGAGGATGCTTCTGGGTGGCACGGACTAAGTTATAACAAGAGTTTAGCAGAGTTAATATCTATCAAGTCCTCACTGCATCTCAGGCCCTGGGCTGAACACACCAGGCATGTTTCTGATGTCAGCAGCCTGGTGGCCAAAGTTTTGTAGCTCACAGGCCACACTCCACTTGAATATTTAAGTACTAATTACTTACCTGGTGGGTGGGAACACCTTCCCTGGGTGCACTGTCTACCATTTACATAGAATATTGGGATGGGGTGGGGCTTACATGTCTTCTTGTCATTTATTTATTTTTAACAGCTTTATTGAGATATAATTCACATACCATTAGATTCCCCAATTTAAACTGTACAATTCAACGGGTTATTAGCATAATCACAGAGTTGTGTAACTGTCATTACAGTTGACTTTAGAGCATCTTCATCACCCTAAAAAGAAATTCCAGTATGA